GTCAAAACGTATTACTCTAACTTAGTTACCAATATTACTCTAATAATTACTTCATTAGCTGCCAATCTCTATCGACTCTCTCTCTCTCTCTATTAATTAATTTTCATATGCTAGGGTTTATACTTGATAAGATTTGATCAATTATAATTAACGCACTCATATGATCCACATCTATGCTCGATATAATGAAGAATCAATTAATGCTCGAAGTGATAACGCACTTATACTTTACCATCAGTTCCTATCTTAAATGGTAATCTCTCATCTTGTTTGACAAGAAAAAAATTATTAAAAATCATTATTAACCCTGCCTATAAGTGCTTCATCCTCATACATATATATAGACGTAATTATTATTAATTAATATTTCTTACATGAAGCTAATCCAATGAAGCCTAAGAACCCTCGTGCGTCATCATGGCATGCCATGATTGTCATAGACACTTTCGGATCGATGTGCTATAACACACACACACACACACACGCATATATATATATATATATATATATCGTTATTATTATGAAATATAAACTTGAGGGCGAAGGAAAGAGATAAGGAGGAAGTCAAAAGAGGAGGAGTGGTAGAAGGCAATGGCTTTTATCTGAAGGTTAGACCTTAGAAGGTCAATAAATGGATCTCGTAATCTGGATTTAGTACTGTGATTGTTTTGTTGTGATCGATTTTCCTTGTTAGGGTTAACCAAATCTCTCACATATATTATTAATTTATTATTCCTTTTGTGCTTTGTTCGATATGGGTATGTGATTTCATAATCTCTTGTGCTCTTTCATGTGGCAGCTAATAAAACTCCATTAACATCAACGAGAACAATCATTGTGGAAATAAGCACATACATGCATCCAGTCCCTCTTTTTTTCTTTTTTCATTTATTCAAAAAATGCCTAGGTGAATTGAAATATGAAAAAGGAAAAGTTAATCATTTTGTCCATTTACTTTTACGTCAGTTACAACTTAATTTATAAAGTTTAACTCAATACAACTTAACTTCTAAAATTTAGCTGCTTAATTTATTGTTACTTTCTAAACTTTTACGATTTGACTACAATTAATCAGTCCTTGAAGGATTAGATTAGTTTTTTAAAAGTGTAAGAACTGGGTGTTTAATTAATGACTAAAACTTGAGAGATTGGGTTATAACTATAACTGAGTTGTTACCAAGTTGTAATTGTATAGACTAAATAATTCATTTTTTCTATATATACTAAATAAGAAAACTAAAGGTAGACTTTACAAGTCAAGAGTACTTGCATAATGGTTTTTATTATTGATTAGCAAGATTAAAAATGACAGAAAAATACCTCTTAAGTTTTAAAATGACAAATAAAGATTTTGACAATTTTTGACTTATTAAAAACTATTACAAGAGTAGTCAGTATGACTTATTTATCTTTTTAAATTTCAATATGTATTTTCTCTCATTTTCCCTTTTTCTCATTAGCACTACCTATTGTACTTCAGGCAAGTTACCTTCTAAAAGAGTTTTATGATTTAAAATAAATGTGACTATATATGTAAGTCACTCTGTGAGGGTTTGTCGGGGCATTATTTATTGCTTTATTATATTTTTGAAAAATGCCCTTTTTATATACTTTATATATATTTTGTCACAAAAAAAATATAATTAAAGAGGGAGGGGTCTCATAAGATGGAGGCATGGTTGAGTGACACGTGGAATAAAAATGGTTATTGATCTGGTTAATTGATAGAAACATGAATGGAGCAATTGGAGTTTCTGTTGTCATTACTGGCCAATTCATAAAGTTTTGAATTAACGCATGCCACGTCATAAAGTTTCTCAATTATGTATGCCCACTCTCTATTTTTTCATTATTGCCCTTTTTCCCCCTAGTGATGCCTCCCAATTTATTCCATCTCAAATTTTGTGTTCATTTGTTTATGTATTTTTGAGAAGATTTTTTCTCATGCCAACGAATTAAAAATTGAACTCTTTTCCAATTGGTAATAGATCTTTCATATTGATCCACTAAAACGGATAAATTTTAATATTTTAAGAAACAATTTATTTTGAACAAAAAAAATTAAGAAAAAGAATAATGTTTTAACAGTACATTAAGAATAATTTTAGTAAATTAAAAAGATCCGAGATGAGTGAGAGAATGTCAACCTTATCCTAATTAGTGATAAGAAGTCAAGTGATTCTAATGATAATAATACAGTGATTGGCTTTTAATAATAGTTCGGGTTGAGTGAAAATGATTAAATCTCCTTCATTATGCAAATTTTTGAAAATTTAAATTTAGAGAATTTTATCTCTCTGTTTTTTTTTCCTTTTTTTTTGTCAAGCTGGACTTTTTTTGATCTCTTAGTACTTAAATTTGACTTGACTCGAATTCAAATTCATTCACATTACTAAATATCGGGACTCAGGAGACACCAGAAGGAAAAATAATTTGCGGCAAAAGAATGGTAGCTTTAATTTAAAGAGAGAATTATAATGAAGTCCCAAATAAGAAAAACAATTAAAAAACAAGTCCTAGAAGTTATTATTCTCACTATAGGACTTGCATTATATGCTGTTGAGGTTGTTATTGAGACTTTTCGTAATTATTTCTTTTCTGTGGGATTTGATTGTAATTCCCTCTAATTTAAATGAGGTATTAGTTGATGACCGTATTCGTCATGGAGCTGTATTAGTTGACCGCACTAATAGTATTTTAATGCATCTATAATTAAAGGAAGAACTATAATGAGGTCCTCAAAAAAAAAAAAACAAAACAAGTTTCAGAAGTTGTCATTTCCTACCCTAAAACTTGTTATTATATGCTGCTTAATTTGTTATTGGGATTTTTAGTAATTATTTTCTTTTCTTGGAATCTGATTGTAATTCTCTCATAATTAAATATTTTTATTAGTAATATAATATATAATTATGAAATTAGTTTTTCGAATTGTAAAGCAAATATTATGAAATCTGAGAAAAAATAGGGTAATATATTTTATGCAATTGTTCCTTGACTAGTATATATCCCATGTAAATACAATCAATACAAATTTTTATTGCTAAAATCTAATATATACATATACATACATATATATAACTCTCCTAAACTGAACCATAGTTTTTAAAAATTCAAAATAATATTGTTTTGTTGTATTTTAAAATAGATAAAATGCTTTTCCTAAAAAAAGAAGCCTATACAATTTTAACAAAATTCAAGCAACACTGTGTAAGTAACTCCTTGCTGTTTTTGTTTTTAGAGAATGTTCATGTAAATTTTGAAAATATAAAAGTTCAAAACACACACACACACATAAGGAAAGCCTATGAGATACAAGTAAAATTCATAAAGTAGTCATCCGTATATATATATATTTTTAAAAACATTATCATATGTGTAATTTATTCTGGATAGGTTCTTCTCCAACAACATACGAGAAGTAAATATGAAATGCAGTGAATGACTAATCAAAATCTCGTGTGTGTGTGTGTAAAATAATTGAATAATAAATTTCTAGGCTAAAATGTTTATAAGTAATTTTCTAACACAATAATGCTATATCCTTCTTTTTCCTAAATAACTACATCCATATAAAATAAATGCTTTCTTACCAATGTCATTCTTCATTTCCCTGCTTTCCATTTCCTAATTCCACTATTCAGTACTTTCATTCCCCCCAACTTCTCTATTGCCTAACTTGTCTTTGTACAATAAAAAGTCAAGAAATCATAATCTTTTTTTTTTCTCCTTCCCCCTAAATTTTCAAAATTAAATTTTGACTTTTTTGTACTGCACACTGTAGCTAAAAGTGAAGTTGTTTCATAGTATTATTGTTGTTTGTGGAAATGTCAACATGAAGAAATATACCATGCCAAGGTTAAGGATTGAAGGGAAAATAACTTGAAAGGTTTTTCTTTATGAAATTTATTGTTTAAAATTATGTAAAATTTGTTAAAAGATTCGGATGAATGTGTGAAACTCTTTTTTTTTTTTTTAGTTTTATATATCTTATTTTCAATTCAATTACATATAAAATGGAAAAAATTTACAAATAGCTTTTGGACAATAAAATTTATAATAGGGGGAATTTTCAGTAATGTACTTATATTGTTAATTTCTTGGCGCGTACTGAACTAAATGAAATACTACCTCCGATTCTAATTATAAGATTTCGTTTATGATTTATAAATAAAATTTTATAATTAGGACCGAAGGTAGTATCACATAAAAACATGAGTAATGAAGGTACTGTTGATGATGTAAACATTTGGAACATTAAATTAATTAACAGATCAATAAACTCATGAAGCATAAGTGGAATCTTCCTTGCAGGATGATTGAAGGCCCCATGGGGCATGAGAATTAAGCGTGGAAATTCAATTTTGAAAAAAAGAAAAGAAAAATTAATTAATGTAATTGAAAAGAAAAACAAAACAAAACATATGGACCCATGCCAAAATAGGTTGTGCTGTTAAGATCAATATCTGCTTTGCATGGTCCTACACACTAATAAATTTCCTTTCTTTTCTTATAAAAGAAAAAGTAAGGATCTAATGTCACTTCATTGCAGAGCAGAGATTATACATAAGAAGCTAAATCCAAGCCAAATTATAATTAAATGCTCACAATTTATATTAACAATAATTAAAAATTTGAAAATTACCACTTTTAAGAGATTACAAAAGTAAATTATGGCTGACATATTTTTAATTTTATTATTCATGCTTTCAAAATTAAAGTCAAAGATTAATTAATATGAATCATAATTTTAAGAAAAATAATTCTTGAATGTTAAACTATTGTTAATGTTAATACAAATCGTGTATTTAATTATTGTCTAATAAATCAGCGAGTTAGAGAATCTAATCAGCATTAAAATTAAACAAGAGAATTCCACATCATCATTAACAGCCTGGATGCCTCTAATACATCTCCCTCAACCCTTTATAAGAGCATTCAAAAGAGAACACTCTCAAGAACACCTCTCTCTCTCTCTCTCTCTCTCAATCATCCTTTGTTCTCTCTTCTCTTCTCAGGCGTGGAATTTGGCTTTCATTACAGTCTCTCTCTTTCACTCCGTCTTTCCCTCTCTAAAAACCATCATCAATGTTCCATGCCTTCTTTTCCTTTCTCTCTCCTTCTCTCTTCTTAAAACCTTGCATTTTCTGAAATACCCATCCCAGACTCCTCTGTTTTATAGGAGAGGCGAATCTCTTTGTCTCTTCGCACAATCATGCCTTGTTACTTCCCTTAATCTCTCTTTCTCTCTCTCTACCCTCTCAATCTCGGACCTCTCTGAGTCCACTTGAGCTTTTGCAGTACGATTCGAAGTTTGAACCACACAACAAAGGTCCAAGTAATTGAGAACCCTCAAAATCCCCTGTTTCTCTCTGTTCTCTTTCATCCTCATACCATAGCTCCTTTTAAAAGTAAAAGAAATCGAACCAATGGACAGGTGGGATAAATCACAACGAGATCGCTACCGAAGGCATTACAAGGAGAACCCTTCTTTCTCTTCTACTCTTCTCGACGCCATTTATCGATCTATTGATGAAGGAGAAACAGAGGGGAGAGAAAACCAGCTTGTGCTCTACAGAGAAACCATGAAGAAGCAGAACCAGAGCAACTTCTTCGATAATAATCATGGTGACGAAGCTAAAGCACCGACCTCTCGTCGATCTCGAAAGGTAGAAAACTGGATGGACGCAAGGGTATGCGAGAAAGTTGATGTTCGAAGAAATTCAATACATTCTAGCTCAAGCTCCACAGATTCCAGTTCAAATGGCGGGTTTTCTTCTTCAGAGTCATCATCAGAGTTATTCAATAGCGTCCAGAGGCTGAAGCCAATTCGAACCAGTGTTGCTCTTCCTCAAAAACCAAACCTTGATTCTCTAAACGCACCCAGGAACTATTCTGATCATACCCAGAAGCCAAAGCCGGAAAATGGCTTCGAGAAGAAGGCGAAATCGAAAGCCCTGAGACGAATCCTATACGGAGACTTGAAGAAATCGAAACAACCTATTTCACCAGGTGCTAAACTCGCTAGCTTTCTGAATTCTCTCTTCAATTCTGGTGGTGGAAACAACAATGCCAAAAAGAAACCAAAGGTGGTGTCGTCAAACACTCTGACGCAACCTTCAACTTGTTCTTCAGCATCTTCGTTCTCGAGGTCTTGTTTGAGCAAAACCCCATCGTCATCAAGATCAACAGCTAAGGGCAACAGGTCTGTGAGATTCTGCCCAGTTAGTGTTATAGTTGATGAAGATTGCAGGCCATGTGGGCACAAGAATCTTTACGAAGGAGAAAAGGGTATCGAGAAGTTCAGCTATATCAGCAAGAACAGTAATAATAAAGAGGAGCTAAGGTTACATGTGATGCAGGAGAGTCGAAGAGTGGAGGAGTACGCCAGAGATTTGTTGAGGAATTATCAGAAGAAGAACCAAGATATTAACAAGTTTGAAATGATGCATTATGAAGAAGAAGATGTTGATGATGCAGCAAGCTGTTCAAGTTCTGATCTTTTTGAATTGGAAAATCTTTCAGGAATTGGGAATATTGAAAGGTATAGAGAAGAATTGCCAGTGTATGAAACTACCCATTTCAATACCAGTCGAGCCATTGCCAACAATGGCTTCGTGCTGTAATATTCCTGCTGTCAAAAATATAGTTACAGTTGGGGGGGGGGTTACATTAGAGAATAAGATTAAGATATTTCTTTTGGTTTTGTTAGTCATATAATCTTGTTTTCTTCTTTCTAGTTCATCTATTATATGTATGTCTCTTTTGTTGTTAATATTAGAGAAGAAGCTCTCAACAATCTCTTTTCGTTAATTATTTCAAGAGTGCGATGACTTACAAAGTGAGCAAGGTCATTAAAGAGCGGATTGCCAAAAAGGTAAATAAATGACTGGGAGAGAGCAAAAATTGGGAAAATTTACATGAGAAATGAATGAAAATTAACACAAAAAAAAGATAAGAAAAGAAAGGGGGCGAAGGAGATGAAGTTGAAAGGGAAGGCAGAATTTCTACATTCACTAATGGCAAACCAAAGAGGGACTTTTGCTTTCTCTCTCGAGTATGTGGGACCTCTTTTTGCTTCAATATAATCCTATCTTTTATTTTTTTAAAAAAAAAAATCTATTCTTCATGCACCACATATGCCTGAGAGCAAATAGTCAAAAAGTTCCCACATGTTAATTTAATGTGGTTTTTAATTTCTTTCTTTTAAATTGATACTGAAAGAAATGGATTCTATATATGCACACTAATATTTTTATTATATTATTTGCTTTTTATATAGACTATAATTACTCTTCACATTTTCATTTAATTATATATATCGAACAATGGAAGCAACAAGAGGAATGAAGTAACCATGTGTTTAATTAAGTAAAAATAAAGGGCAGAAATATATGGTCCTCTAAAGATGTGGACAAGAGCAATTCTTGGATTCTCTAGCTAAAATCTTTGATGTTAAATTTGGTTGGCTTATTAAAAGCCAAAAGAGCTAGTCTTTGAGTAATTTGATGCGATATTATTCGATGTTTGAAAACACATATAAACCTTTAAAATTAATTCATCTTAATCAATATGTTAAGCCCGTTTTATGATGCTCTTAATCAAAACCTTTTTTCTTTGTCATTGCTTGTATCTTTTTTTTCTTCAGTGCAAGCCAAATTTCTTCTTTTTTTAACCTTTAAATGTTTCAAGTTCATCTTGAACATATGTTTTCCCTTTTTCATACATTTTTCCTTTTCCCCTCGTCTTTAAAATTGAAAAGTCTAAACCTAGGGAATGCAAGCGTTTCAAAATAATTTTTTATAATATATATGTTAAGAAACTAAGTCACTTTATTTGATCCTAAAGTACTTATTTAGGACACATAGGCTTTAGTTTTCATGACAAAAGACTACGAACTACATAGTACCAACTAGGAGAAAAAATAAAAAAGGACAAAACTACAAACTTTATTGGGATTCTTACGTTTTTTTTTAATTTTGAAAATGGAAAAAGAAAAATGGAACTTAATAATCCACAGTTCGTAAAATTGCATGCATCTAAAGTGAGTCATACTGTTTGTTGTTTTTAAATAATGCAGATATTTATTATCTATGAATTTTATATTATATACAAACTATATATAAGTGTTCAAAGGGCAAAAAAATTGCCCTTTCTTTTACTCAATATAAGATCTCGTTGACGGGTTTATTTTCATCCTAAGTATTAGATTTTAATTTACTTTATCTTCTAAAATCTAAACTTTTATTTTTTCCCCTCTTAAATTCTCTTTATTGATTGCACATATTTAACGAGTTTTTTTTAATCTATGAAGTAATTTTCAATATAAATGATTAATGATGTCTTACAGAAAAATCAACACACACTTTTCACAAAAAAAATAATTTAAGCCATTTTATTAATATTTGCAAATCAGTTATGTTTAAATAATTTTATTAAGAAATAGGTTATTTGATTTATACATGCAGGACTGGGGGTAGTATTATAAATGTGGGGTTTAGAACCATGTACTTGATCAACAAAGAGAAGAAATTTTTTTTGGGGGGGGGGGGTGGACAAACAATAAATACTGGGAAACACCACTAAATCATAACAGTATGGAATGTTCATTAATTAGTCATTAACTGAATATTTTTGTACAACGTAGTTTAATTAAAGGCAAAATAGTGAAACATTCAAAGCTGGCTATAACTTGGAATTTATAAGAAAAGAAAAGGCTACAAGCTTGCTATGTCCAAAAAGTTTCATAGGGCAATAGAGAATATGATAGAACACAACATTAAGGAATTGATTAGCGGACATCGCAACTGTGAATATTATAATTATAATTATATGCTTAATTAAACAAACTGTTTAAACTAACTATATATATAGTAGTATTTGCTTTGAAACGACATGTTTGTTACTGTTTTTATATGCATTAATATGGTTGGTGAAGTGGGGAAGGCTCGTCACAATAATGAGAATTTTTAGGTAGCACTGTAAACAATAATTAACTAATCAAACTTTTTAAAACTTAAGAATTAAATAATTATCTTTAATTATTACATGATTAGATTAAAAAAATTAGTTGTAACACACTAACGGCACTCATCCATATTTATAATTCCTCCAATTCTTGTGATATAATAGCCACAGCAACGACGTTGGATTTTCTTTTTAATGGCTTCCAACTAACTAAACAATAGAGTTGATCTTAAAAATTTAAAATTATTATTCAGAATGCCAATCTTCAATTTATATACTGTATTACGGTTTCATTTTCTATAAGTTATATATGTTAATTTTTTTATCTTATTCATATTTTTTTTTTGAAATATAACTATCTAATTGAACTGAACGGAGTCAGATTTAAATATTGTAGAGTTTAATTGAGAATGACTATTCTAACAGCCTTTTTTGAATTTACATAAATGCAAACTAGAGATCTCGTGCTTAAGTGGTTAAAATTGTTTTAATTAGGACGAATGCTCGTTACATATTAGAATTTGTGAGAATTTATATTACTTTTGTTGTCCTTAAAAATAATAAAAAAAAATCAATGAATAAATAATACTGTTAAGTAGGCCTACAAGAACAGAGGAGAATTATTTACTTTATTGATGGATTTGACCCAAATTAAATTACACTATTCACACTATGTGTCTTTATTGGCTTTTGAAATGATCCTCTATTTAGGAATTTGTTTTATGCATCGAGCAACCATATTGTCCGTACATAATATTTACTCATTATTTGTAAGGGTTGTGCTGTCAAACAGTGGAAGCATCCATACTAGCTGTTGGCCATGTCCCTTCCCCATCATGCGGCAACCACACATGAATACAACATTATTTAATAAAAAATAAAAATTAATTATTACTATAAACTATTAAAGCACTAATAAATTGAGTGTGACTCATTTTTAGACTCCATATGTATACCATGTTTAGTTTTCGTTTTGTATGTGTGAAATATATACACAAACACTGCTCTTGTCATTTATATACTAATTTGCAAATATTAAGATATTTAAATTAGTTATTTATAATAAATAGATGTTGTATTTCTTAAAATATTCTTTGATAATCATATTTCTTGGAACTATCATCTGATGGAAACTCTTTAAGTATGCAATCACCATGCGGATTACTTGGAAGCAAAATAAATAAATATTAAAGATAAAGTAGATTGAAGTCTTACATTTAAGATCAAATTAAATTTTCAATCGACTTTTATATTAAGAATGGGAAGGCGGGATTTGGTTTTCCTATAGCCATCCAAAGGAAGATCAATTCCGGTTCAAGCCTCGTTAAAAGTACTATTAGAGGTTGATGGCCACTTATCCATCATTCATAATATTGTGCTGTTTAATTAGCATATGTGAGTATTCTATTGTCTTATTATGGATTCAGGAACTTTTTCGGTTGGCAAAAAAAAGAAAAGGTTCAGGAATTTTTTCCGACTATATATGGTAATATAGTGGTGTTGTTTTAGTTTAATTCACTGCAAATTATTTTCTCATTCCTTTCCGTTCTTTATTTCTTCTTATAGGATTTTTTTTTTTGCCGAAAGGTGTATTATAAAACTTATCCAACATTATTTGAGAATAGAATAATCAACCAAATAGATAAACAACGAAATCAGCGAACTCCCACTCTAACTACACTGCATAGTAACCCTTCATCAACATCCCTATTCTCAAGCCGAAGGGTGGATCCTCGTGAGAGTCGCCTTTCAGCCAGTTATTAGTAACTTACAGTCAAACCCCCTCTCCACTATTATTGCGTAGGTGTTTAACTAGAAACCAAATTATAATTTTAAAAATAATTTTATATGATATAAAGTAAATATGTTAGAAGAATTTTGTGTACGGGAAAGCACTTTTGAGAAGTGTTTTTTTGATTATACCAAACATCCCCAAATCATCAAATTCAAATTTCTTTTTATAAGAAATGGAGGAGAATTTTTTATCCTTTCTTTAAAATATCATATGAAATATTTATTATATTTTTCTCATTTAGTGTTGCCTTATGCTTTCAAGCTCTTTAGCTTCTCAAAAAAATGGGTTTAATAGGGATAAAATTAAGAAATTTGTTAGTAAATAAATTTTAAACTCCCAGTTTTGGTGAAAATGCTAGAAGTGACTTGCATAAAAAGAATCATGTGGGAGGTATTTTGTATTTTTTTTTTCCCAAGATGAATGCGGCCATCTAGGTGCAAGTTAAGTACATCCTGATCAATAATTGGGAGCAACTTTTGATAAGCTGGGGAAATGCAAAGAACTTAATTAATTAGGGTTGGTAAATAACAGATATATATTGGGCTGTCAACTTTGTTTTGTGATGCAAATTAAATATATTGCTTTATGGAGCCACATTCTTTCCGAATCAACAATGGCGTGCGTGCATTATCATATTCTGCTTTTGTAATAAGCCAATATAATGAAACCGCGTCACCTTTCATATTATATTATTCATTATAATGTTGTATTCTATTTGTGCATAGTGGGGTATCATATATATTCGTTTTCTGCGTACGTATTCTCAATTCCTTTCCTCCATTTCAATCATCACCCCCCCCCCCAAAAATATACAGTACTCGTCCAAAAATGTGGAGAGCTTTTACTACCTCCTCCGGTTCTCAATATAAAAACTATTTTGAGTTTTTGATATTTAGTTTAATTATAAATATAAGACTCTAATTAATTTTGTCTATCATGTTTATATATTTTTCAAAGTCGTCCTTATAATAGTTATATATGTTAAATGTTTCATTACATAGAAGTTCTAATTAATACATGTGATTAATAAGGGTATT